GGTCTGTTACGAAGGATAATTGATGCATATATTTATTGATGCACCTGGAATCATCATAGTACCTGGTGTAATAGGAGGTGTCATCATTACACCTCCGCTCCCAGGCAGCCTGACTGGGAATGATCAATCCCCAGCCTGTGTTCAAGTAACATTAACCCACTGCCTGTCTTTCATGACCCAAAACCATCTTCATGCCTTCTTTGCAACCTCTGAGGATCTATTGATGACTTTTCTTTTATGTGATTGTGTAATGCCCAGGAGGCTGTAGGTCTTGCGTATCATAATTACTAAAGCCCTACTTTCCACTTTGTGGCATACATCAAGTATGCCACCCCTGCCTGCTGCAATCTCCCTCCAGCTCTGTGTATTTTTGTTAGCCTCTTCTATCTTCTCCCAGAGCAGTTATCTCTAGTATACTCTCTTGCATGGATTTTTTTTTTTCAGAAAACAGTACAATATACCCACATAACAGACATGTGTGGGCCAGGTCTGGTGTCAAGCTTGCTGACTGCTGGCTTGGCAAGTGGTTTGTCAACCAGATGTGGGCCAGGTCTGGCACTAATGGCACTAGATGACATTCCACAACTGACCCTGTTGTGGTTCGGTCTATGTGGTGCTGACCAATCCATGGACCACATCTGGACAACCAAAGGGTTGCCATTCTATACAATATCRGGGCCAGACAGATCTTGCTTTCTGTGCATAGTCTGAGTTGGGTCTTTGTGACATTCTCTGGAAATCTGAGTCGTTTGTTCAGGTCCACCATCCTATTGCCAGTGATGTGCTTCTTATAGGCAGTTAAACTGTTCTACTGTTTGAACAAATGTGATCAGGGGCCTCATGAACAGTGCATATGCACAGAAAAGTTGCATGCACAAAGTTCCATGCACAAGTCGGGATGTATCCAAACGAAGTTGCATGAAAGCGTGTGTAAAATATGTGCACGTTTTACTTGCTGTCCGAATGTGCAGACAGCCACGCAAACTGTCATTTGCCAATTTTAAAACACAAAGTGTAGAATCTGAKCTAAATACACAGAAGAAATATGACTACATTCTGTTTTCTGGATGTAAGGTTCATCGAAACACCTTGTTCTTATTATTACTGTTTTTAAATTTAATTTAATTTAATTTTATTTTATTTTATTTTATTTTATTTTATTTTTAGTTGGGGCTTTTATGATTTAAATCCCAACAATGTACTGAACAGCATTTAACTTCAGCAAAGAAAACATAGAACACATTTAAAAATGACAGAAACAATCACACTCCAATGAAAACTGTAAAGATTATTTTTATAATCTTGTCACTTGTAGATTTAAACACAGCTGTGAGGCATACGGACAGCTGACATGCAGAAAACATATGTGAATTTTATAAGGAGCATGTTCATTCCCACTGAAAAGAAACCATGTTAGATCAGCAGCCTAATTCAGAACAAGTCACCTGTGATGTTTCTTCAGATTGATAAGGTGTCGACAACTTATGTTGGATTGTTACTGATGTGTTCTAGTGTCCCTGTTCTTTTGTACAGGGTTAGTGAATGATAATAAATGCAATAGAATGACATATATACACACATCTTGTCCTTTTTTCCCTCCCAGAGTCTGAGTTGGTGATTTTCTTGGCTGACTCCACCTCTCCTTACTTTAAGCCCAAAGTTCACATCTTAAAGGACAATTTGCCAAAGTAAGTACTTAAAAGCATTTTTTTATATATATTTGGTCACTTTATTTGTGGTCTTTGAGTAAATGTTATGTTTCAAGGTTTAATCTGCTGTGTGCAATTATATGAATATAAGATCTTGATGTAAAACAGGGTGTTTTGTCATTGACTTTCATATACATATTAAATAAAACCTATCTGTTTCAATTTTTTTATTTTTCTTTGTAATCATAGGGGCACAGTTATCACCAGTGTAGTTCCTGGAGATTATGATGGAGATTCTCAGATGGATGTCCTCCTGACAGCGAACATCAACGCCAATGAGCAAACAACAGTGCTCATCTTTTGGGGGAACAACCAGACATTAGGTCCGATTAAGTGTAAACAGAGACTGACAATACATATCTCTATTAAAATGTTGATTACTTTTTTGGTACAAAAATGTTATTTATACAAATGTATGTGCAGGTTTTTTTTTAGTGTTGTCACTTAACTGAGTTATACTTTTTCTTGTAATTTTTCAGTGATGTCCAATCTTAACATTTTATAAGTTCTTTAATTATTATGATACTTAAAAATGAGTCCACAAAATTCAATTAAAACACCGGCAAATCATCAGGTTTTCCTTCATGTTCTGAAAACATACAAATTTTGCCTGAAATGTCTTTCTGGAGAGTTTAAAGGTTTTGGAGTCATCACACTTTGATTCTGTAGATAATTGTTCTTTGTGGGTTTCTTACTTTATGCTTTCTGTGCAGATACGAGTGTTTGGCTCCAGCTGAATAAGACCTTCACAGATCAGCCTCTTGTTATGGAGTAAGTCTATGGTTTTTGTATTAAGTAAGATTTAGTTATTTATCTTGTAAAACTGGTCATACCAAATGTGTAGCAGAGTGGTTAGGGGAGTCGCTCTGTAACCAGTGGGTTGCCGTTTCGATCCTACGTTTCATCTGCTTCAGTTGTTGTGTGGGCAAGGCAATTGACCTGCTTTGTCTGCTGTAGTGGTCAGAGGGCTCTGCCTCTGTCAGTCTTTTGGTCACAGTTTGGTCACAGATAATTTGACGTAATAACTTGAAAATATAATAGAAAATAGAGAAAACAGAACGGGCTGAAAATTATGACCCAAACATAATATAAAGATACCTTTAAACCACCAGGAGAGACTAAATTCAACTTGTCTGCACTCCTAGAGACTCCAAGTCCACTACAAAATGTATTCAACAGCTATATAAGTGGATGTTCCATGATATGTCCCCTTTATTTGACTGATTTCACAACAACATCACAATCGACATGCTACGAAGAAGCATCCAAATTTAGTTACTTCTGTAAACACCCTGCTGAATATTACTTCACGACTTATTTGGCGCATGTGGGTCGCATCAGCGTTGGAATCCTGTTATTAACAGACCCTCTGTTCCGTGCTGAGTCTGACAGAACAGGAGAAGCAGACTGTGAGAGAGAACAAGAGAGAGCTTTTTTTTCCTAAACAATGTGTCCGCCCTTGTCATGCCACTATTCTGGTACCGTTAATGATACTGTAAAGCCTGGAGTTTGTTGGGTCGGTCAGAATTAATTATGTAGCACAGGTACTGAAAAAATACTGGTACTCGGTACTCATAGCTAGTAGGGACTTGATAAATCAGTATATAAGTTCAGTCCATTCACTATTAAAATAATACTTGACAACCTTCACATATTTCCAATTAGGGTTTTGTGATTTGATTGTTTTTTATACAAATCCAGTCCAAACAAATACATGAATGTTTTAAGTTTAACTAATATACAACATTTTTTTTCTCTTCTTCAGTTTTGATGGAGACATGATCCCAGACGTTTTTGGTGCTGTCAGTCTCACATCAACTGAAATTTGCCATCTTAAGAAAAGGTAAAATAATCCTTTTCAAACGTAAAGTTTTCTTCTGTTTAGTTCGTGTAAAAATTGAATCCTAAAATTAGCTACTGCTTTATTTTGTATCCCCTTCTTTAGGAGCCCGGAGTGTCTGAAAGCACTGAATGCATCTGTCAAAATGCGCACTCCTCATTCTAATGCATTCATTGACCTCAACAAGGACTTTACTGCTGGTAAGGGTTTGATTTATTGAGTACCTTGTAACCTTTTCCACACAACACTGTCAAGACAGCACGAGACACCCTCCTTTCTACCTAACTTAGTGCAGTGTGTCAAAATATTAAGGTGGAATGGTGCCACGCCTTTGAATTTAAAATAAATTAAATCAAACCTCTTGTTCCTTTTAGAGAAAATGTTTCTTGTATGAATTGTTACCGATGTGCCTGCTTCTAGTTTGACATTGAATTAGTTTACAGGGCGCAATGTTGTGACAGAACAAAAGTGTAAAAATAAAAATATAAGCTACAAAAATCCAGTTTGCAGAGCATGTGACAGAGGTGGATCAATATGTTATTATGAAACAAGTCCATTTTAGATTATATTACTCTGCTGAACTAAAATGACAAAACTCTACTATTGAATGTGGCAGATTATTGTAACATTTATTAGATTTCAAAAATTCTTACTTAAGTTTAGTTGTTTGGAGGATAATATTCACTTAAAGTGCCTAAAAGTGTTTTGTTGTCTAAACAAACGTCTAAAATTGTAAATGCCTGAAGAACTCTGTTTTGTAGATGTGCAGGGATTTTCCTTGTTTGGCTGAAATATTTTGAGAGTTATCAGTTGTTTGTTTAGTTTGATTACCTGTGTAAACATCAGAGATCTTTCTGTAGTTCTGGTACAACTATAGAACGATCTGTGCTTTGTGAACATAATCTCTGCGTGTTTGCATGTTGTGAGCATTGAAATTTGCTAACAGTGTAAATAAACCTTTTTCTGCCTTTTGCCTAATGACTGCTAGAAATAGGAACCAGCCCCTCATGACCCTGAACTGGAACAATAGGTACAGTGAATGAATGGATGGAGAATTGGTAAATTGTTCAGTGAGACAAAGAAAATAAACATTGTTGTGTGTTCAGACCTTATTTCTACACTCATTTTCCATGAGCTGTTGATTCATTACAACCAGGATGTCAATTTCTGCTAGATTTTTAAAAATAGTAGCTATTGTCTGCGAATCTGCTAATATTTCCATGTCAGCTTGTTTTAAAAGATTCTGTGCTTAAAGAACTTGCATCTTATTGCATAGATATACAGTGACAGACTTTAAATCTGTGACTTGTTAGGTGCATTCAGCTGCTCTTCTAGATGTTTGTGCTGCAAGAAGAACAATGTATGTAGGAAATGTGGAAAAAATCCAATCTGTACATCTAATAGATTTTAGTKTTGCCTGCTGCTGTTTGTGGGGGGCTTGCAGATTGAGGGAAGAAAAAAAAAGTTGGCAGGGAGCGATGGAGCGATAAGGCTGAGCCGGAAAGGATAGACGGAGTTGAAAGAAAAAGATGGCTGGTAGGATAAAGGGTTGAGGAAGAGTGGGAGGGGGATGAGCAAGGCGGGTATGTCTCGAGAAAGGCTCAGRTCACTGTCTGTTAAGGCCACCTGCTCTTCTAAGCGGTACCGGCTGGAGCATCAGCGTGAGGCTTAAGCAAGGAGACTCTACGTTTGACGACAATCTGGTTCCTGCTTGTTCCTCACTTTATTCATGAATGTTATAAATTGTCGTTTATGATTTAAAGATTCATAATTGCCTATGTTTTTGGAGAATATTTTCCCATAAGAACTTTGTTATTTAAAATAAATATATTGATGGAAATGTTCTGTTAAATCATTAAAAAATTAAATCCAGGTAAGATTAGGGTTGGGCGATATTAGCAAGTAATTGGGACATTTAGCCAATAATGATTAATATGACTATTAATAGATGACAGCTGCACTTGCATGTTTTTGCCACTAAATCAGTTACCATGTTCTAAAATGATACTTTCAAACCATCATTCAAACTACAGTAACATCTTCTTTGAACTGCTGTGGCCCGCCCAATCTTATTTCATTCCAGTGCAGCTCATAAGGGATAGATTGACTGAGAGATTTGTTTCTACTATTCACCCAAGAAGTTTGCTGTGATAGAGTTAGGGTTAATGTTTGCTATTCGGCACTGCCTTTCACTATTGGGCTCACATTAGGGCTGGGCAAAATCATATCATGTGCAATTAATCATCTGTAAAACTGTCAACAAATAATAATTTGCCATTTTGCAGTTAGTACCATGTAATGACATATGTTTGTGTATGACACACTAGCACACATGTGAGTCTAATGGTGGAAGGTGGTTAGGAGCAGCTAACTACTCACTTAATCACCTGAAATACTGGCATAAACTGGAGTAAGGAAAGCCAGAATATGCAGACCAAGGCTATGTTGACCACATACAAGTGCTGTTGTCATCTATTGTTATTGACTTAAAGCCACAATTAATCGTGATAAATTTTTATATCAATATTGCCTAACTCTAGCTCACATGCGGGTTGATAGTAAGAGTGCATTGCACACAAAAGTGTGTTACCATCACACAGAACTAATTGCAGTAATTGCAAAGTGGAAACAATTAACTGACAGTTTTTTTCTGACTATTAATTGCACACAATACAACTTTGCACAAGGCTTGGTAAGATGTTGAAACTGATTTGCTTAGGAGCTTGTTTGCAGAACAGCCTTAGTCTCCTTCATTTCCTGCACTGTATATATACAGGCACTGCACAGACTACAGGTATAGGGACCTCTGCAGAGTTTAGAGGACAGCACACAAATGCTATCAAGCACACATCCATGTTAAATAACTTAAAATAAGACTTGATTAATTGAACAAATTAAAGCTTAGCATCTTTTGAAGGTTATAGTTGTAGCCTTTTTAATCAAACTTTGTAAATGACATTATGTGTGATCTCATGAATTATTGTGAGATTTTGTGAGATGTGCTGGTCCTCTGAGTTCATCTTGAGAATGCCACACAAGATAGCTCAATATTTGAAATTCTGTCTGAAGTAAAGTAATTTTTGTGTTTGTTCAGACCGTTTTGCTATAGCAGTCATCTTAAATTGTGCTGAATCCTAAAGATAATCAGTTGTATAGAGTTTATTTTTATTCATATATGAAACATCTTTAAAAATAATCGAAAATTGGCAAATTTAATACAAGTCTCTTAATTCTAACTCTGCCTGACAATAGGCTTTTTTTATGGCATAATAGGAAACAAAACTAATAAGGAAGTAGGTATATTGCACAGTGTTTTGGCACTCTTAAACTAGTGACCTAAAGCACCAACAATGCTTTCTTAAAGATTATATCTTTTCTGTACCTTTTGTCATTCAGCCTCTGGCTATTTAGTCTGGTTAGGTTCACATTTGGTAGAAGAACCACACTGTAGACATCCAAAAATGACTCATCTATGTTGAATAAATGAACACATTTCTCTTAACCTGCATAAAGATGCACATTGCAGCTGTATGTAGGATAAAGTTTTAAACAAGTAAAAAAAAACAATTACATTAAAGAATGTTTGACAAAAGAAAAAGTAGGAGAAAAAAGTATATAAAAGACTTAGATATTAAAAGAAATATGTAGGTCATAAAGTTTCTGTAAGATAAAATTCAAGTAAATTTATTTTGCTCTCTGGAGACTGGCAAGCCTAGATTGTGGATATCCAGATAAGTTGAAATAACTCAATGTGCTGATATGTAGTCTGTCGCCAGAGAAAATGGCACACAGGTGGTAAAATGTATGGTGGGAAAAAATGTTTGCAGTAGCAATGCTATTAAATTGTGTTCATGTTTATGTGTGGCATATGTCTTATCTTGTATCATTTTGTGCAGTTTTTTGAGTGTTAAGGGTTTGGGTCCCTCATCTGACCTAAAAGCAAAGTGCTTCGATGAGGTTTTTGGTTACTGCAGTTCAAGAACGCTGAGGGCTGTTTCACTGCAGTGTCATGACTCCAATCTGAGTCTAGTCAGTGTCATTGCTGTAAATGGTTTCATGATAGTGTATTGGCTGACCCCACTATATCAGCACTACCAGCGAGGAGAGGTGGGGAAAAAACTGGAATTGTTTCCTGGCTGATGTCAAGGCCTCATTTACCCTGCTTATTGGACTCTCCAGCCAAGCAACCTGGCGGCGACAGTGACATATCGCATATGGCTTGTAATCTTTCTGTAGTATCATTCTCCTCCAAACAGTATCTCTAACAACCATAAGTTTGCACCCAATTTTTGCTCATGCGTTTTTATTTTCCATTCATTTTACCTCGGTTCTTACATATTGGGACATTTTGATTAATACATTATAATTAGGGTATTATGATATTGTTCCTTTCAGCTTATTGTCTTATTGCGTGTATATGTTTTTTGAACAGCGACATTGTTAAAGATGAGACAAGGAAACTAGGATAATGCTCACAAATGTAAAGTGATGTTTAAAAATCGACCGGGATATTGGTGCAAAAGAGCAAAGCCTGTCATTAAAAATTTATTTCTCAAGCTCAAAGTCAACAAAAATAGTACAGTACAAGTAGGCTGACGTGATTTATGATGGTAACAAAAGAAAACACATCATTAAAAGATTCTGCAGTCATTTTTTTTAGTTCGTCACAAAACCTGTTTTGCGGTACTGCAGATATGGGCTTCAGAAGCCCTAAAAATGCATTATTAAAGTCAAATGATTATAGTTAGAATGGTTTGTACTGGAATTATTTACTTTTTGATGGTACAAGGTTCTGGTTATCCCATGGATCACATCACATAACCATTCAGATAAAGGACTAATGCAAGAATTCATTAAGCTTTAAAAACTTGTCAGAAGAAAACAATAGAAATATCAAGTAATTATAGATCCATATTGTAGTGGAAGGCATGCATAAAGTCAGCAAAACCAGCGTAAGGATTCATTGCTAGGCAACAGCCATGGTAATGCTCTGTGCAGCATCCAATTAAAGTACCTCTGTGTTGAAGTGGCTTGTTGATTGTGTGACTAATAACGTGATGGTGGTGGAGGAGAGAAAAGATTTGCCACCTAACGAGGATGGCCAACAACGAGTGTTTATATACGGGTTAAGTTTACATTTAGAAATGTGTTGGAGAAATTTTACCATCACAAATGGCTGAAATGAACATTCAGCAAGGAA